TTGTTGTTGTTGTTGTGTTGGCTTGCGAGGTGGTTGAATTTCATTTCCCAGTTTTCCCTTTGGCTTTTCTAGCCAAGAAATGGTTATAAGAAAAGCGCTTTGGCATTGAAGGCTGTGAAGTATTGATTCCAGCTATGTAGACAATCATTGACAAAACACGCAAAGCTCAGGAATTTCTGTTACTTAAACTATAGTTCGTTGAGGATACTGGTTAGGAAACCTGATAAATTTATTTCCTATTTGTTTAATATGGGTTTCCTAGAACTAATCGTGCACAACTTTCCACTTTTAATCCACTGCCGTCGAACTGACTGGCCTAGAGTGAAAACTTTCCATGAATTCGTGAAGTTAGAATTTGTAAACACACCAAGAAAAATGTGCATGTACGTGGTAAGGGGGTTCCCAAACTAAACTTGAGCTCCGTTGTTTAAGGCTTATGAACATGAAAAATGTCTGTGATAGGGTCATTTGAATTTACTAATGATGTCATTATTTCTGTTTAAAATCCATGTTAGGAACATTTGATTAACTTTCTACAAAAGCTGTTCACTTCTTGGTGCCTGTGCTGACCTCAATTCAGTTATCAGTTCATGGCGTGCAAAATTTGCCTCAAACCTATTTTGCTTAGTGGTTACACTAGACAACAGGGAGTCAACAAACCTTACTATTTAATTCACTGAAAATTCATGACTGAGTTGATAGACTCAAACATCAATTCTTAAATGTAGCTTACAGTACATGCTCTCTATTTCATTATAAAACTCTTGTTCACACGCATCCATGGCATAATCCGAATGTAACATAAGGTACTGCGGAAGGTAAAATGTGATCAACCATCCTGTCTTCTTAAAATGGTTCCATTTGAGCTGTATAAATCAAAACAAGATTTTATAAGATCTCCATTCGTAAAATGTCCTAGCAGTTCAGATAACATATATCAAAACTGAACTCAGTCACTCAGAATTTGGGGAACTTCACCATACGTTACTTAGAAAGGCCAGAATTATTTGGAATTACCCTAGAGCTATGCAGAATTTTTGTCTTCGAAGGCGAAGCTCAATCAGTCCGAGTTCTTATAGGGCCTCATCAGCTTCATCTTCTGCTTCTTCAAGTTGACCATTAACCAAGTAAAGCAATGATTTATTTGAATATTTCTCTCCCTAATACTTGGTTGCACTTGGGCTATGTATGTCTTTTTTCAGATAAAAAGTTTGAATTTCATTTTAAACCAAAAATTGAACTAATGAATGAAAGTAGTGGCTGTAAATCATTCATTCGTGAAGTCCTCCAGTAATGGGCCTTAAATTAACTATTACTCGAGTTACACAAAGCAAATCTAATACTTATTTTAGACATTTCTTAAGTTTTAAGGTAAAATCTCTTACGATAGAAGCTAGGATGAGCACATAGACATATAAGCGTCGCAATTCAAACGGTGTTCAGTTCTTCTTCAATCCAGTGGAGATGGACCTCTCTGTTATCGAGATCAATATCGTGAAATAAACATTATTTCAGAGTGCTGTTGTCTTGCAAATCTGAACTGTTCGTGTTTTCGAATTCGTTAGAATCGTTATAACCAACTACCATCTTAATGGTAAAAATGCAGATCTATCTTCCATCAGACTGTCAGAGAGCATAATTGGAATTTTCAATCATCAATTCAAACGACAAATCACATGACGAAACTTATTGTCGGATCTTCAAAATAACATAAAAGTACGAAAAGGGGTTGTGTACTATGATGACAAATACCGCCAAGTACAAAAACATCTTACATAGGTTCTGAGAGCAACTTTTGTTAAGACTGAAAATGCTTTTACTTACCTTATTTTTCAACAGATATGGTCTTGTCGCGAAGATATGCGCGCTGGAACCGTAACACACAATTTCAAAAGGATCACCTCTGAATCGCGCGTAAAAGTTACACAGACGTCATATTTTCAGTCTCTTCGTAAGTAAGTGCCGCTGGAGAAGGAAACCGCTAGGCGCAGAAAAGAGCTAAGAAAGGAAAACGTGATGCGTTTCTTAGAGTATGCGCCATCTTGGAATTTTCGTTGAGGTCACAAAATATCTAGTTTTGGCTTATGTACGTGCATTGTCCTAGCCATGACCTTAAAGTTCTTAAAACGCAAATCGCACCTTCAGGCTGTTGCCGGGAATTAATCCCCTCCGGCAGTTCGCCAATATCAAACATCAGCCATTGTTATCAAATTGAACTCGCCTTCACTGATTCCTGATAGTAATTCAAACAGCTTCATGTCACAGACACTTTGAAATGATTATGACTAATAAGGTTACAAATTCGGAGCAGTTGCTCGTGCACTCAGTTAATCCTGATCAGTTGGTCAAATCTTTCACCAAATAACTTGAACAACATTCAGACATGGTTTGATGCTACTCTGGCTTAAAGATTTAATGAATGTGACCGAGAAGTTACAATTCATAGACCCAACGTTTCGACACTCCTGTCTATTGCCCTCATCACCCCTGAAAGAGGCACTAGTATATGTGATTGTCCACCTGGTTGCCCTGTGAACTTTAATATATCTTGAACAATAGTGTTGTGATTACTGACATCTGAGACTCATTTGTATTATACGGCTCTGGAAGGGAAATATCCCCCAGATAAGCGTCCTTTATTAAGTAAAGTATAATAGTGTATGTCAATTAGATATTTTAAGGCCAAAGCCTTGTCCCTAAGATGATGATCACCTACCTAGGGCTTCTATCCTGTAGTCTGAGTGAAAAATAATTCAATAATTGGCTGTTTGGTGTCATAAGAAAGGGGCTTTAGGTCATTTTTTCATTTTCGCTTGATCTTTCTCAAACCTCTTGTGCGGTCGTGATGCAAAGGAATGCGCAATGGCGTAACAGATAAGCAATAGGTGAACGAGGAACAAAGCACTCAGCTAACTGTTTTCTCGGAATATCTTTAACAAAAAAAAATTTTCGTGGTTCAACTCCCGTGAGAGAAAGGACCATCTGTTTATTTAAGGATGAGAATGAACTTAATCTATATGGCATCCAGAAACTCTATTCTTTAATTCTCTTGAAAAAGAGGGTGGAATCTGGGGACGAGGATTGCCTGTTATCCTGCGCTGGCTGGATGCTTTCTCGTATCTTTTTGAATAACATTATTGAATTCATTTAAAAGAAAATTAATGATAAGTCCCAAAAGATCCTGTTTCACAAGTAACTTAAAACAATAATAATAATAATAATAATAATAATAATAATAATAATAAAATATATATATACACCCATTTTCAAAAACGTTGCAACATTGAAATATATATTTAATATATATCACTCGTTTTCTTGTCAAAAAGTCTCGGTAGATGATAAGTAAATTTACTTTGAGGCAGAGGTTGCATCTTTTGCTTGCGCTGTAATAAGGTGATCTTGATGAAAGGATGCGCCATGAAGTAAAGTGGTCAATATTATTTTCTTTAAGGGTTCAGATATGTTCGCTGAGTTCGGTAGAGTTTCTGTGTTTTGTGTTTTAGGTGCACACACACACACACACACACATATATATATATTGTCAGACATCTATCCAGATACATTTTGTTACCCATTTTTTTTTTTATTTTACTAGCGACAAGATTTGATTATTTGAAACAAACTCGTATAGGACGTAGGATGTAGTGAGGGTGGATAATCTGTGTTTTCCTAAAGCGGGAGAGTTAAGCTATTCAAATTCAAAAATATTCTTGAAATACCACTCTTATTGAACGTAGCTGAAGTCTGGAAAATCTCATGACAACCGAATAGTTTAAGCAAATAAAACCTGTTTTTGCACGTACGTGTCACGTTTTAAAATATCTGGGTTTTTGGCTTGTCAAATGTGGCAAAATAAATTTAGTAGACTTATCTCCTTATTGCATTTCAAATAACATCACGTAGCCCATGCATTTTCGAATGTGACTGAATGACTAACTCTTTTAGAAAAGATTGCAAAGTTGGTGTGATGAAAAGATGGAAGATGGCCATGCAATAACTAGACGCAATAACAAACGTTCATAAAGACATAATTTTGTTTGTTAGAGTAGGTCAGAATAAATAGACAACTTTGTGCTGAGTGGACTCTCTTACTACTAATTAGTAATAGAGCTCACCTAAACATTGAAAAGTCTCTGTAACAGTTAAAATAATTTAATCTTAAATGTCTCTCATAACTTATGAATTAATCGTGCGGCCAAGAAGCGAATCAATTCTAAGTCCTTCATCAAATGTTTGAACATAAGGCCCACGAATCCAATCCATAGAACACTTATTTCTCCTGACTTATTCTGATCTGTAAGTTATTTTGTTGACTTAAACAATATGATCTCATTACCTAGACGTCCTTCTTGCGGTTTAACATTTGGCGTCACTTTTCGTCCAAGTGCTAAAAGATAAAATCCACGTGCTTAAATGGGAAAAAAAATGAAAAAATCGTCATTTATCCGACGACGAGGTTTGCAAAGTCATTTTTGATCGTACTAATCTAGCATCTTAACAACCCTCTTTCCTTGAACCTTATTGGAGTCGTCTTACTGGTTCAAAGCTTCCCTTTCTAAGAGGTATATCTTATGTTTTCGTTTATTCCAGATCATGCTGATAAGACATTTCCCTCAGAAGAAAGAAATTTATCGTTTTCGGGTGGATATCGATATCAATCGACTTCACTGGTCGAGAAATCAAAAGTTTATGAGTTAAGAAATGAATCGACGAAAGAATCAGGAACTTTTCAAGTTATGAAATGAAAAGTGAAAGTAACAAATCGACAGCAAACTCAAAACCCTCAGAGGTTTTTCTCATAATTCTTACTAGTATTTTCAAAGTTAAGAACATATCTTGTACCAGCTCCCCATAAATCTTGTTTGCATGTTAACGTATTTGGAGCGCTGTGAGTTGGATTTGATGATAAAAGAAAGACAGTTTCACAGACCTCTTGCATCTTGTGGTACGTGTTGTGACTTCTGAAATGAAGCCTATTAGCACCTCTTATTTTGGCTCCCAGATTGTAAACAATTTATTGTTTTCTAATAACGTCATTAATAAGAGGATGATAATCTGATGATGGCTTACGTCGAAGCAGTACATTACACAATAAAATTTATACATACTTTTCAGTTTTGAAATGTCGACTTTTAACTTGTTATAAAATAATTGCGACACTACGGGCGCCTTGATTGGTCAAAAGCCATTGCACCGGTAAACCCACAGTAAACCCGCTTTCCTTTCAGTCTATCCTAATCACTTTTGCTGCAACGCACGATATTGAGAGATAGATTGTATTGATGGGAGGGGAGGGGGATATGAAATTGTAGTTTTAAAGCGGAGAAGATTTTCTCAACCAATATGCTAAGGAATGTACTGTACCTATGTTCTTAGAATTTCTGTCAGTTACCGCGATTTAGTTAAAAGATTCTCTTTGTTCATCTCTGTAATAAAGCTGATATTCCCGCTGAAATGCAAGGAAGACCAAATTTGCGCCGCTGACCGAGCCAGCACTTGAGCTCATATGAAGAGGTCCACGTGTTTATTGCACATTATGACAATAATTTGCAAACTCCATACTTATTAATTTATCAGTCGGTTTTATTCCTGAGGAAACGGTATGAAAACAAGGCTAACACATATCAGTTAGATGTGCCTGGTCATTAACTGTTAGGTTTTATCAAAACTGAATTTTCAGTTGAACTACATTAAGGTGTATGGAGGAAGATTTTCAGTAACTAGAGCTCTATGAAATTCATTATTACGATGCTCGATTCTGGATTCGACTACAAATATACATATGTATATATGTGTATACATACGCGACTAATCACAAAGATCTTCTTTATCAGATTTTTTGCTATGCCTGTCTAAAACTGTAAGGTATAATATAGAACTATAAGAGATTAAGGATTCTCCATAGAGCTGTAAGGAACAGAGTAGAATATTTTCTACTAAGATTCTAAATACAAACAGTGCAGCTTGTTAAAAAAGTTTGAGCTATTCCCAGTGCTCCGAAGTCATACAAGTAAATCACACTTATCGAAAATCTCGTTTTAAGACTGAACTACATGCCCTTTCCTCTCGGAAAGCGGTCGACCAAAGCGTTTCTTTGCACTGGAAAGTTCATTATTTGGTAAGATAGATAAAGAAATAAAGCATATACCACAAATGTGGGATTACTGTGTCAGTTAAACCTACAAGCGATGCAAGCACGGGGCTGAAGATAAGAATTGACTGTTCTAGCACACTCGAAGCGTCTTTCCTCAAGAAATTGCCCCGGCAGCTTAGATATCTGTTCCTAATGAGAGGAAATGCTTTCTCAGTCCGATCATTTACACCGGGCTTTGCTCTACTGATCGCTTGCCGGTGACTATTTTCTTCTTCCTGCAGACTGTCACTGATGTTATTTCTGGACAATCTTTGCAGTTTCTTGGACTTCGGTCCTCTCTCAGGAGTGTCAAGCCACATTGCTCACAAAGGGATCTGCATTGGCTTGTTATTGTGCCACTATTTCCGCAGACTCGTCCTTCCAAGCCAGGAGAGCCAACGGTCAAATTACGTACACAGTAATCAGGCGACGGATCCTGATAGGTCAGTCGTAGGTTACTTTGGGAAGTGGAGTTGATATTGGTCTGCTGCGTCTTGTTTATGGTGGATTGATATTTACTTTTCAGTTCGTTTGCAACTCTCTGCCAGTTGTTACAATTTTTAGGCAAACTGCCACCACAATTCCTCTTAAAAACCTGTAAGGGTATGGAAAAATACTGATCAGAATAATTAGCAGGCTTTGTATTTAAGAAACAAAAAATATCCGAGTACCAAGCTTGGTTGTATAGGGAGCCTATAAGCAATCATGATGGTAAAGTTTGCAAAGTTTCGTTAAAAGCAAGGAGCGTTTTGCGGGTATCATTTCAAGTGAATGTTGTGTAAAGTTAGTGTTTATTCAAGAGAGAAAACAAAAATTAAGTTAGTGTTCCCAAGGAATGTGATATTGTCAGCAAAAAGGACCAGAAACAATTGTTCATGCTACTCTTATTGATAACACACTGCAAAGTTCACGCACTATTCTAGGGTTTCGGTCCATAAAAAAAGGCCCTCGTAACCATAGTACAACTGTATATCATGTTTGATGGCACACAACTCTTTGGGTCAAATAAGATCCTCCTCCCCAAAAAAATTCCGGATTTACAATGTACGTTCATTTGATAAAATTTCTCAAAGAGAGAAAGCGAACAAAGCTTGATGAAATGAACAGTGTTTGAAGAGGCCTTACGTTCTAACGATTACTTGAAAAGTAAGTAAAAGTAGCATTATTTTCCCATGAGAGATAAATAAATAGGCATTGAATGAAAAGAGGCGCGAAAATGAGTGGGCGATGAGTGAGCAAACAACATTAAATACATTATGAGAATGAATAAAACACGAAAACAACATTTACCTCTATTCCCACCATTTGATTATTAATGTCAATTCCGCTTCGTTCGAAGCTCCCTTGTGGCAGAGTTACTAACAGCCTTCTCGTCTCCTTCTCAGCAAACTTCAGGTAGTTCCTGCATCCACGAGACTGCCCTGATTTTTTGTCACAGCTACATTCGGTAATTTTGTTTGCAGCGCACTGAGAAACGATTTCTTGTACGATGCCGGCGGTTGTTATTGCGTGTAAATACGCTGTCTCTCTATTGGCTACAAAACAAAGTGATTGGCTGTTTTAAAAAGATAAGCTCAACGGGTAAAGACGTAATAACTGTATGGAAATATTTTATTCTCTAAATTAATTTGAAAAATCATAATTCGGGTCTGGGCATTCATTTTGATTATCAGTATCATCATTATCATCAAGACAATAACCGTCATTATCATTATTATCATCTTTGCTATTATTATTATTTTGACCATAAAAAGATGAGGATAAAGGATCCTGAGATAGAAAAACCTTGAATATCCCTTATCTATTGAGTCATGCTCAAAACAGATACAAGTTACTTGGTCTGAAACGATTAAAATATTTCATACCATAAGACAACGTTGTTCGCATAAAATCAGGTAATGCTCCAGTCACACTTTCTTTATAAAAACTGCAATCCCAGACTTCGAACTTAAATTGCTCACGGCATTCTCTCAGACCCCTGCTAGCTCCGGCTCTCTTGATACTTATTCGTTTGGAAGCATCCTGAGTTTAAAGATGAGAAAATGAAACTAAATAAGTACAAAACAGCTTGGAGATGGTATTCCAACAACGAATAAAACCATTCCAGTAGCCATCCCTTTCGTTGCGGGGAGGCCAACCCTTCAATGAGCAAAGTTTTATCTATAAATTAGAAGTAATAAATAATAAACTGAAAACAACATACCCGTATGGATCGAGTGATGGTTGATCGTGGGTCAGCTCTGTCGAATAAATGGGATAATGTCATTTTGACGAGGAAAATATAAACAAATAAAATGTGAGGTTAGATGAAAAGACTTGAGTTAGCTTTGCCTTTACTGGAACAGTCCTCGGTCTCCGGGTAACAAGTGGAAAGCTGGTATCATAATCCGGTATATTTAAATTTTTGTTAAATCAATTGACGGTTTACTCTAGTTTTTATTTCATAAGGGAGTGGCACTTACCCTGGACTTTTCGTGCTTGTGACCATGTTTAAAAAAGCCAAGGTGACTATGATTGGTAAAAACATCATCGAAAACCTCATCTCTGACGTCATGAAGTTCAGTTGAGTACAAATCAACGGAAATAGTTTGAAGGTGGAAAGAATCTGGAAGTTAAAAGAAGAAAGTGGCTGTAGGAAAAGTTTCTTAAGAGTTTTATTAAGGAGTCATATGTGCTAAGGAAAAGAGCCGGAAACACGAACATACTGATCTACCACAATCACTTGCAAATATCGCCGACATCTCGGACATTACAGACATCGAGCAGTTGTTTACACTTCAGTCATTTTATTATACTCTTCCTCCAATTCATTGAGAACTATTTAAAAGTTGTTATAACATAGTAGCGCAAGGCTGTCTTCTTTGAATAGATATCAGCCATAGAAGGCTTATCACGTGCTCGATGAAGAAAATCAATGCGAAATTCGGCAAACGTTGCTTTAGTGGTCCATTTCATCTGTCCAGCTTGCTCTCATAAACTAAGTAATATGGTTTTTTTGTCTTTTCCCCATACGACAATGCTCAGCAAATAACAACTCACTTCAATAACAAACTTCACGAACCTCAATTAAAATTGCAATAATAGAACACCAAGAAAGGCTGAGCAGAAAAAAAAGAAATTTAAAAATCTGGGTTTGACGGAGAGATGTGCGACATCAAACAGCAAATGATACCCACCTCTCTAAGGTTTGGGCTCAAATAAGGCCGATGCAATTGGAGGAAAGCGAGCGCCTCAGCCGTTTCATAATGTCTGTTTTCTTTTAACAATTTTTCAAGTGTAATTTTACAACGTCTGAACCAATGACCAGAATAGATTAGGGCTCAAGTTCTCTCTAGTTGCTATATGAGAATATTCGCGATGTTCGACAAGAAAAACAGCCAGTTCACACCACTAAATATGCATTTGTCCTGACACCAGCTAATCGATTAGAGAGGAGGATACAAGATCAAACATTACTGCAAGCATGTTTCATTTTCCTTCTAATGGCAATGGAAAATTTGTTACTGACCTCACTTGTCGGACAATAGTTCTCTCGCTTGATGTTTGTTTGAAACTGGTCTAACTCAATCGTGAACGAAATCGTTTCATCAGCTTTCTTATGCTGTATCCTGATCTGAAATTTAATCTGTTATTTAAGTCGCACGATCAGCATGAAGTTATGTGAATTTGCTTGTGGTGGTTTGGCACTGGACTCCTAGTTCCTCTTCAGAGTAGAAATGCTTAATTCCTCTCGGAGGAAATGCGACACCCTCTTTTTCATTTGCTGACACTTATTAACAAATCAATCTGGTCGTCATAGCCTTGCACGATCAGCATGAGATAATACAATTTTCCTTGTTGTGGTTTGGCACTGGACTCCTAGTTCCTCTTCAGAGTAGAAAGGCTTAATTTCTCTTAGAAAACCTCTTTGTCTGACTAAGTCACATGCACAAATTGCAATGTTCTGCAATGAATAATGGCGTGATTTCAAATTCTTGTGGACTTTGTCCGACAAGTGTGCGCCTTATCTCTCGTTGGAGATGAACATGTAAGGATCTTCAAGTACAGATTAATTCCAGAAATATGACCTCTCATTCCTTCTCTATGTAAAACCAGCAAACATCACGACAAAGTGATGTTTGAAGTTGACGAAAGAAAAGTTCATTGCAAAAAAAAATAAATATAGTGTATGAAAAACTAGCTGACATTAAAGTTTTTTTGGATCTTGTTAGTGCTCTCCGTTTGGGAAGTAGCCTCAGCCATGTTTCTTGTTCACTAAGGTGTTCATGATGAATTTTTCTCCTTTTTACACCAATTATACTTCTATTGTAAACGTCGAGTTAAGATGGAAGTTGTAGACAATGAGTATTGCCCATCGAGTACCTTACATTCTAGCTTTTCCTTTTACAGTTTTCTTTCCATGCCACACGTCAAGGAAATAACAATTAAAATTGATATAAGTTAAACAGTTCCGTTAACGGCATAAAAATGCGATGTTTTTTAGTTCTTTGTGGCACCACACTGATAGTCTAAAGGTCTCGTCAGTCTTAACCGTAATCTTAGTAATCTATCTGCCACGGAAAGTGTTACTATCAGATTTTGTCCGGCAATAAGATAAAACTCTTTTGAAAATGAATATGCTTGCCATAAATACTTAAAAAGAATTGGATTTAATGGAAGGTAAACAAATTAAGAGATTACGGTGATGATTATATAATGCTTTCACACATTATATTGTGAAATCACAAATTAATTGTCTCAATTTTAATTCCGCTCTTAATTTTCGAGAGAAAAACACAAGAAAACAGATGTGTCGGTTAATTATGAATTGAGTCAGAAACTGTCATATGCACTCGTTTCAAAGGAATCTACATAAATACTTGACTTTCGATAATTGTGTGTCAACGCCTGGTAATCAAGTGCATTCTCTTCAATGTTGCAATATTGGTTACACGATGATTATTAATACTGAAAGACGAGCCACCTTTGCGTGCCACCCCGAAGTCTACAGAGCTTCAGCATTTTCAGTTCGATCACAACGACGGTAACCTAAACATCGTCCATAAGATTAGGATATTGCAAGTGTTTTTGGAAAAGAAAGGCTTTAAAAATCTGAGAAAACCTTCCTAGTTTCGCTTTCGACAGGAACTCAGAACAGCCCACAATCATTTGGTGTTGTGAAGGCAAGACAGCTTCATGATCATTAGAAGAATTACAAAAGCCTTCGAAAAATTTGAGAGTGTTTTCCATGCCAAATAATTGAGAATGCTGAATAAAAAAAGTTAGATAATAATCATTGGGATGCAATAGGTAGAAAATAAATTAAAATACCTTGTCAATATGAGCTGTGATGTGATTGCCTTGCAGTCCGACACAATTCCCAAGAACTCTGCTTCTTCGGACGTCGAGCACACACAGTGAACGGCGTCAACAGAGCACTCATTTAAGTAGCAGCCAGAAAAAAATTTACAGGAAAGGATTTCTTGGGAATTATTTAGAATTTTTCTTTTATGGTTTAGCATGTAGATACCTTTTGTGGTTTAATCCGTGGACAGTACTGACTTTAATGCGCTAAGTTCGAAAACCAAAAGCTTCTTTTTTCAGTTCTAACTCATTCTATAACCCATAAGCTCTCCCTCTGACGTAAAAACAACTGGTATGAAACGAACACAGAAAATAAAAACACGTCAACACTTAATACATTCGAGAGTATGATTCTATTTTATGAGTGGACAGCGAAAAACGCGCACGAATAATTTGAAATATGCAACCAAACAAAAATGGCACGAAAGGAAAAATAAATGACCCATTTTTCACGCCAGTTTTTCATAGCGTGTTCGTCGCGTTTTGGCATTGTATTCCGTGTGGATAATAACATAGAAAGGAATTTCGTCTGAGGCAATTATGGTAAATGCGGATTTCGAAATCAAAACGGGCTTACATGAATCTATAAACAGCTATAAACAGTGAGACTGAAAGAGGGTCAATGTTATTCAAAAGAGATTAATTGAAAAAATTAAGGATCAAAGCAAACCACAAATCATTACATTGATAATGTGCTGAAACAGTGTCTACAATGATGAGAAAAAAACGGAAAACTGAGAAACAACGAAACTGAAATACAAATAATTGCTAATCAAATAAAACTTGAATACTAAAGTTTTAACTTAAACGCAGATGATAGTTGACCAATTTTGTTTTCTGGAATTTACAACCCACTAACCAAGGACTGAAAAGCCTCCAAGCACATTCAAGTGAACAAAATTGTGAGCCACGTCTAAGAGAGAAAGTAGAAAACAAGCAAAGAAACAGAATCCTTGAAGTGAAAGTTTACAAAAAAGAAAACAAATCTGGAAATGGTTTACTTGATTCATTAGGAGATCGAGGAAAAAACAATTGAGGAAATCGTTGAAAGCTAGAAATTGCACATTCAAGTTTTCTCCGTGTTGGAAAAATTCCGTGTTTACAGGTTCTAATCGAAACCATCAAATTACCTACTACAAAAAAGAAAAACAAAACTGTCAACTTCCAAAAAGTAGATAGAAATCTATATATATTTGTAACGAAGAGATAAATTTGATTGCAAGGTTGTTTATCCAATAGGAATTTCAAATATTCCGACAATTTAAACTTAAGGCCAGAGAAAGTTTTACAGCATCAACAAAGAAAACAGACGCTGTCGCTGATTCTTCATTTATGTAATCGAAGACGCAGAAAGAAGATCGAAAATAAGTAAAGGAATAGCCCAGATGTGTATCTTGTTGGCATGATTTTGACGGACGTGAAGAGAACGTGTTTTGTAACATGCTCAATGCTATGGGCACTAATTTAAGGGCACGACCTTTTCATTACCTACAGGACTAGAGATTCGAAGGACAAATCAATTTATTAGCAATTGTCATGCATGCCATGTAGCACGGTTTCAACTTGGTCGAAGTATCTTCACCTGTTTCCTCCATTTTAGCTGTATGATTTTACTTCAAACTTGAATATCAATAAACTTTGAAAAGCATGAGTAGTTAAAGATGTTTTTTTGATAACTTCCTGCGACTATAATTTCCTATGGAAAACATACAGATCGCTATAAACCTGTTTATTAACTTTTAAGTACGTCAAGAAATGCACGAAGTGTCTGAGCAATTTTTATTTTTAACTCATATTACAGAAAAAAACTCACATTGTTCTAATCCGATTTGTCGACAGAAGTTAAAGGACGTGGTTTCTGTCACTTAAACTACATTTGATCTAATGCCGCCGCGAATCCACCAGATAAAAATTCCAGGACATAAAATAATTTTTGTCTTCACGTTACATCTTTGAAATTTCTGAAATTGCCCAAGATGGGCTGTTTAAAAAGTTGCAAAGGCGATATTCAACAGAAGATAGAGGCTGAAACAAAAACTCTCCCAGTTCCACACAAGTGGAGCTCTACGCTCTCCTCTCCCAAATTTCACTAGCAGTAGTGGTACAAAGTGCGAAGGGTACCAATCAAATATCTTACGTCTAATCAACAATTGCATCAAGTTTTATTAACCCGAGCATTATTGATCAAATTTACATGTAAATTGAAGGGAATGATGCAGGTGGTTATTATGCTACGTACTGCCACCGGTTAGATTTTAATTCTTTCTTCTAAAATGTAAAACGTCAAACTTAAAAAAAGCACTCATGCGGGTTACTAACGATGATTTATTTTCCAACTGCAAGACGACACCTCGAATGAAAGAAAAGGAAAAGAAAAAATTGTAACAGAAGCAGAACATTTTTATACTTTCCTTCT